TTTTTTTTTTTAAACTCTTTCCGTTTAAGACTTGTAATTCTGAAGTGGTGTTTAGCTCCATGGCCTAGCAATCAGTTTTCAGTGCACACGCATGCATGCACAGGCACAGGCACACACGCGCACACACACACACACACACACACACACACACACACACACAAATGCAATATGGATCTTTGCCTAAGGTGTTGTATTAGTCCGGGTTCTCTGGAGGAGCAGACGGAACAAATGACTCTGTGTTTATATAGATAAAGGGGATTTATTAGACTGACTTGCAGCCTGTGGTCCCCCTAGTCCAGCAAAGGTTGACTACCAACAGAAGGTCCAAGAATTAATAATCGTTCAGCCCACGAGGGCTGGCTGTCTCAGGTGGTCTTCGCTATACATCAGAATCCTGAGGAAGTGGGCTCTGCTGCCAGCGAAGGGATGGACTTGGCAGCGCAAGTGAGGGCAAGCGGGCAAAGGGCAGAGTTTGCTTCCTCCGTGTTTTTCTCTACAGGCTGCCAGCAGAAGGTGTGGCCCGGATTAAAGGTGGATACTCCTGCCTCAAAAGACTCAGGTTAGAAGTTGGTCTTCCCACTTCAAATGGTCTAATTAAGAAAAAAAAAATCCTTCCAGTATGCCCAGCTGCTGGAGTTTAAGTTAATTCCAGATGTGGTTGACAACCAACAATAGCCACCACAGGTGTCTTGAAGGTCTCTAGCTCTGTCCCCACAGCCCTCCTCTGTGGTGTAGCATGGATCGGTTTATTAGTGTGCAAAGATGTCAGAGTTGCTGCCTCGGTGTCAAGTGGTCAGAGCATCTGCCCTTTTCCACTTTCAACCTTTTTCCGCCTTTCTACCTTTCAAGTTGGTTGACCAATAAATGTGGCCTTGTTTCTGTACTCTCTAGTCTAGAAGGATGTGTTGTCTTGTTCGCGTTAAGTTTGGTTGGTTCAAGGCTTGTCGTGATGGGGTCTCAGGTAGCTCAGGCAGATGCTGAATTCCGCTACGCAGCTGAGGACGGTCTTGAACTCATGACCCGTGGCTTGCGACACCACATTGGGTTGAAGACTGCACTTCGATGTTTTTATGAAAGTGGATATAACATAAAATTTGCTGTCTTGCCACCCCCCTTTGGAGAGAGAGAGTCTGTTAGCCAAGGCTGATCTCAGACGAAATCCACCCCCACCACCTCATCCCACCCTGCTTCCATCCTAAGGGCTGGAATTACACACTTTAACAATTTTAAATACAGGACATCGTGACATTACTCACATGTACACAATTAATGCCATCATCAATCACTCTTATTTTTCCCAAAATGAACATTAAAAAAAGACTTTTTTTTTCAAACTTTGGAATTTTGAATGCCACTTCCCAATTCTCCAGTTTTGTTCCAAGAGAAATGTTAGGGAGGAAAAGCAGCTCAGTGGTAGAGAACTTGGCTAGCATACGTAAGGCCCGCCATTCAGCTCCCGGGGACCATAAAAATAAAATTGCTGATGTCCCAGAGAGGTGGGTCTGAGTCTTAAGGAGCAGGGCGTTTCCAGGGCTCCCAGAGGTCCTGTAGAAGCACCACTCGTCTCAGAGAGGTGACAACTGAGACCCGAGGATCACGCCACTGACTGACAGAGCCAGCTGAGGGAAAAAAAAGAACTGCTATTTTTGTGTGGTTGGGGGATTTGACCAAATCCTCGCAGCCTCCCTCTGTGAATCCGGCTTTGGTAAAATCTGCTTTCCTCACTTTCGGAAATGTCTTCGGGGAGTAACCAAGGGAGCGGAAGGCAGAGCTGGGACGGGGTAGCAGTAGAAAAAGGCAGTCACAGGTCGAATGGCTCATCTGAAGGAGAGCCTGCTGGGGCTCGGGGATGCTGAGCCAGGCCGTGCTCAGCGGCGCCCTCCTCTGGCACGAGTTACAAACTGCATCGGAGCCAGGCCTTGAGCCTTGGTGGTTGAGGCAGAAGCCCAAGTTCAAGGCCTGCCTGGGCTACAGAGCAAGTTCAAAGCTAGTTGTAGCAACATAGACCCAGTCTCAAAAAAAAAAAAAAATTGTTTGCCTAGCCTCTAGCACGTACAAGGCTCAGTGAGTTCAACCTAGGGTACCATAAAAATGACCTGAATCAAGTGGGAACCATTTTTCTATCTTACAAAAGAAGTGGCTAAACGGCGAGAAGGTGTTAATAAAGTTGCCAAACATTACCCAGTTCTAGGTGTGTGATTTCAGAGGTCTCTTAAGTAGTATAGAAGAGGCACCTCTAATTAGACCACCGGTCTCTCAGTCTTTTCCAATGTAGTTTATGGACGTCGGTATGAAAGTACAGCAGCCCTGGGAGGAGTAACTGGGCGCGCTGGTGGTCGCTAAAAAAATAAACAGGGAGCCGGGACTGGAGCGAGCTGGGCCCCTATCTGGTAGGCTCTGAGTCACACAGGTCAGTGGGGCTGGCCCGCTCAGCCTGTCACCCTCAGCTGTCTCTCAATGCTACACAGCCGGGCTCCGCTCAGAGATGGGGACGGCAATATACAAGCTCTCAGATAAAATCAACTTCCAAGGGAAGAAGACCCACAGGCCCGGTAAGCTTTCCCCTCGTTTGAGATGACTGAGGGCCCCAGCGCCACTGGGAGGGATCAGGGACCCACGTTGATTCAATTGTTTATGCCTTTGATGTTGCAGGACCCAGCTGGTTCTGGGGGCCAGGCATGAACACTTCAGGCGGGCCTGCTGTTGGGGTTTCTCATCATCTGAGTTCGATTATAAATCGTCTCCCTAGGAAACTTTGTTTCTTGTAAGCTGAAGTGCTTTCAAATGTTGCACGAGTCGAACAAAGGGTGGCCGGCACAGCCACGGGACAGCTCGGAGGGTCTGATTCCCGGTAACAGATGGAACATGGACTCCACCGTTCTTCTGGCCAGTTATAAATATCAAGGGCATGTGTTTTGCTGTCCAGGGTCTTCCTAAAAGGACACAAGAACTTTCAGGCTGCGACTCCAGGTTCTTAGCAAGCAAGGAAACATTTGGGTCGTGGCACTCGGTGGAAAATAGTGCGGGGGAAGGTACGCAGGTGCCTAGCATCTCTGGAGAGCACCTGGAGGGGCTGGGGTTCCCTGGGTTTTCAGGAAACAGGGAGTCCTGATTATCACAGATGTGCCATGAAGTTTCAGCAGAAAGGAAATACTGAGATAAAGAAGGGCTGTGGATGCCTGGTCCCAAGACTTGTAAAGTCCCTGCAAGATGGAAGTGCCTTGCAGGGTGTGTGTGTGTGTGTGTGTGTGTGGTGAGAAAACGAGAGAGACAGAGAGATTGTTAAGGTGAAGAGGGTTGGAATGGCCTCATAAAGGAAACCTATGACCTTGATCGTGACCTGCTTTTTCTTGATGTGTATAGCAAGCTGCCAGACTTCATACTAAGCTATGTATGACATATGTCAGGGCTGCGTGTTTGCCATGAGACCGTCTTACTGATGTTAGAAGCTCTTGGTCATTTGTCTGGAACAGTTTGCCCTGTAGAAAGCCCAGCACGACTGTTGTCATATCTAAGGCACAATGTTGTTGTTTTTCCTTTGAGACCAAGTGGGCCTCAAACTCACAGATCCACCTGCCTGCCTCCTGAGTACTGGACGCCGCTACGCCCAGTACCATTTTTTTCTTCCCAAGACAGGATACTTCACGTGTCTCAGGTTGACCTCAACTCACCTACAAGGATGACCTTGAACTTCTGACCCCTGATTCCACTGCCTCTATCTCCCAAGTGCCTCTATCTCCCCAGGTGGGATTATAGGCAAGCACCATTGTGCCTTGTATATATGGCTCTGGGGTCAAAGCCATGGCTTTGTATATGCTAGACAAGTACTCGACCAACTGGGCTACGTCCCCAGCTGAGCACTATCGATTTGGATAAACAACATCATTTTATTTATTTTTTTAAAATATTTATTTATTTATTATGTATACAATATCCTATCTACGTGCATGCTTGAAGAGGGCACCAGGCCGCATTACAGATGGTTGTGAGCCACCATGTGGTTGCTGGGAATTGAACTCAGGACCTTTGGAAGAGCAGGCAATGCTTTTAACCTCTGAGCCATCTCTCCAGCCCAAACAACATCATTTTATATCTGTTAGAATGGAAAATGCTGTCAATTATATTGATCATGCCTTTCATTGTAAGATGTATACCATCTTACATGCGTTACAAAAAAATACATATGTATTTTTTAGGAAGCTGAGGGTGTGCTTAGTTGGTAAAGGGGTTGCCTAGCATGCACAAAATCCTGGGTTCAATTACCAGCACTCCATACACAATGGGCATGGTGGTACATACCTGTAGACCGGAACATGGGAGGTTGAAGTTGGAAGGAGCAGATGTTCAAGGGTCTCCTCAGCTACAGATTAAGCAAGTTCGAAGCTCTGTTGCAAAAGCACAAAACAAAAAGTGCCTTTTAGTAAAGATAAAATTTATAGATAAGCCCAAGACCTTGAGCTTAGAAGACAAAGAAAAGCCCTTTGTCTTGTATCAAAGCTATGCTGCAAGGAAAGTTCAGCTTGCACCTTGCTTGGGGTTGTGTTTGCTTCTTGGGAGGGTGTTAGGAGGAGAAGGTAGGTCTGTTGTGGACTCAACATCATAGAGATTAGAATTAATGTTGGGTGAGGGAGAAAGTGTTTACTCTTATACTTTTGTTATGACAGAGCCGCTCTTAGGAACATGTGGACTCTCACACAGCTGGCTAACTCGGTTCATGTGTTGATTTTACTACCATGTAAGCAGACATCAATAGCAAAATGATCAATTTAATCTGCTTCTCAGGTAGAACAGACAGCCTGCGACTGTTTTTTTTTTAATTTTTTAAAAAATTTTTTTAAGGTATGTAGCTTTATGAGAATAACGTGAATTAAGGAATTCAAATCTTTGCATATCCTATTCTATACTGAGTTTAAATACAGAATTCTACCTTAGTCCACGGGGTGGGGGATAACAGGTAAAGAACCTTTGCCCTTCCCCTCATGACACAACATCCGTATTTTCCTAATTACCAGCATGGCAGTATCCATGTTCTCTGTGAGCAGGGTCTCTTCTTAGTGTCCCCTGAGTCTCCCGGGGAGACACAGGCAGATTCCTCCCTTCTGCCCCTTCTCTCTGTCCTTTTAAGACAAGTGTCTCTGCCTTAGACTTTCCCAGCACCTGCCCCCTTGTCTGTCTTCTCTGTTGTCACGATTTGCATTGCCAACCTAACTGTTTTCTTTAAAAAGAAGGAAGGAAGAAAACGTCTATTTCTATTTTTTATTTTTACTTTATATGTGTGAGTGCTTGTATGTGTGTGTACTTGATACCTGTGGAGTCCAGAAGGGGGCGTCAGGGCCCCAGGAGCTGGGGTTCCAGATGGTTGTGAGCTGCCATGTAGGTGCTGGGAACGCAGCTTATGGCTTCTGCAGCCAGGGCTCTTAACTTTTTCTTCCTCTCCCCAACCCACTATTTCTATTTCCAAATGTAGCTATGTCTGTATCTGTTTGTGAGTGCATGTACAGTTGATAACAAATCTGGAGTTGGAGTTACGGAGGGTTGTGAGCTAGCGCAACCTACTGGAACAGAACTCAGGTCCTCCTCAAGAGCTGCATGCAATCTTAACTGCCCAGCCACCTCTCCCCGCATTGTTTCCTTGAAGTTCATTGGTCTGGACTTCCGGCCCTACCCTCCTCGTTGTTTTTCTCCTTCATCCCTGGAAGCGCCCACCGTCCTCTGAGTACCCCTCCGCAGCAGCACTCCGCGAAAGTAAAAACAGCCGCCACGGTGTCTATAGTTCCTACTCTAAACCACGCCAACTGGCGTCTCCAACTTTACGGCACTGCGGCACGACACGGTGTTGTCATGTACAAAGTTCACGCTCAACAGGCACCTGACTGAGTCACAAAACAAACAAATGACTAATGCGTCTCAATGTTCTAAGTAGGCTTATGATTCAGCGTCAGCTCCATTCATAGTTACGTTGGAGTGCTTGTGGCCAACAGGCTGCCCGATCGCATTAGGGTGGACATGTCTGACTCTATAACATACCCCAGTTCACCTGTGGGCTTGTGTTCTGCACATGTATGTGTTCACATGACACAGGTGCATCAGGGTATGTGGAGGTCAGGACCAATGCCTGCACCAACGGGTCCTGCATCACAGGGTCATTGCCCACCATAGTTTTTTTTTTTTTTAAAAAAAAAAAAAGATTTATTTAGTCCCCTTGTATCAGTGGGTGATCGCACCCCTCGCGGTCCTGATTTCCTTTTTCATGTTCTTCCTCCTTCTGCTCCTCATTTGGACCTTGGGGGGCTCAGTCCGGTGCTCCAATGTGGGTCTCCGTCTGTATCGCCATCGTCGGATGAAGGTTCCCTCTGGTCTTGCCTTCTTTGCTCACATTCTCTTTCCTTCTGCTTCTCGTTTGGACCTAGGGAGTTAAGTCCAGTGTTCCAATGTGGGTCTCTGTCTCTATCTCCATTCATCGCCAGATGAAGGTTCTGGCACTCTTGTCTATTTCCAATCTCCAGGAGGATAACTACATGATTTTTTTCAGGTTCACCTTCTTGTTTAGCTTCTCTAGGATCACGAATAATAGGCTCAAAGACCTTTAATTATGGCTAGAATCCACTTATTAGTGAATACATACCATATTCCCATATCCACCAAGGCCAGTTGGACTGGGATTGAACAAGCACATGATCCAACCAGATTCTCTGAATGTGGCCGGATTCTCTGAATGTGGCTGGCCCGGAATCTTTCTGAAAAGCCATTGACAATGACACTGGGACTTGTTTCCTCTGCATATACTGGATTTTTGGGATCCAGTCTGTTTGGATACTCACCTTCCTGGACCTGGAGGGAGGGGGGAGGAATTTGAACTTCCCACAGGGCAGGAAACCCTGACTGCTCTTAGGGATGGAGAGGGAGGAGGAGAGGGAGTTGGGGGAATGGGAGGGTGTTGGGAGGAGGGGCGGAAATGGAAACTTTTATAATTTAATAAACTTTGAAAAAAAAGATTTATTTATTATATATACAGTGTTCTGCATAGAGGCCAGGAGAGGGCACCAGATCTCATTACTGATGGTTGAGAACCACCATGTGGTTGCTGGGAATTGAACTCAGGACCTCTGGAGGAGCAGCCAGTGTTCTTAACCGCTGAGCCATCTCTCCAGCCCCCTCACCATGGTTTTAAGCAGGCTCTCTCACCGACTCGAGAGCCTATCACAGCACATGTGCTCTACTCTCATTGGCTGAGTTTTTAATCACAGTTGTGGCTGGGGTTAGGGTCAACACGGCTAAGGGGAAGGTAACTGATGCGGGCAGAAAGAAGGAGCAACCCCAAATCCACAAGGGATTAGTGAGTGATCAGACCGTGGCCCATTCATACCCTGGAATGCCGCTTCCCAACAAAGAGATGGGGTGCTGACGTGCTGCAGTAGACAGACCTGGAGAATATCCTGCTGAGACAATGTTGTTAGATCACAAATCGTGCCACATAGCATATATTTCACTTGGATAAAATATCCAGGTTAAGCAAATCCATAGAGAAAGAGAATAAATTAATGGTTGCTACAGAAACGGGGATGGGAAGTACCCACCAACCGCATGTGCATTAGAGGTTCTTCGTTTTGTTTTTTTTCTGGGAAGACTGACACGGACACACGTTAGCGGCCACTGCTGCACAAATATTTTAAGCATCTTAGAAACTGGATTTTGCTGTTTAAACTGTGAAGTCCACGTTGTGTGAATTATGTTTCCGACATGGTTGTGTCCATCTGTCATTTCAACACTGAGGTTGGGGAGAAGACAAGATGACAGGGCTTGGGGCCAGGTCCTGGAGAGACACCTCAGGGGCTCAGAGCAGTGACTGTTCTTCCAGAGGACCAGTGTGATCGCTCACCACCTGTGACACAGTTCCAGGGGATCTGATGTCCTCTTCTGGCCTGCGTGACTACCAGATACACATACATACATGTGACACCCATATACACAAAATACATTTTTAAAAAAAGCTTGAAATAAACCTAGGCTTCATAATGAGACTATGTCTCAAAAACCAACCAAGCAATAAACCCAGCACACTACTTTTACAAAAGATAATCAACAAAGTTATGACGGGATCTCATAGAAAGTCAAGATTTCCGAGAATTAAACAGTTCAGCAGTTTCTTGTGAGCAGACGGGGCCAACGCTTCTACTTTCATTGCTTTAAGTTGGACAGAGCTTTGTTATAGGGGATTTAGATTTCCCTTTGCCTGTGGGATGGATAGAGGTCCCTGTTCATCTCCACGAGAACCGTGTGTGTTTTCTGTTTCAGAGGGAAGATACATCTGCCACTCTCTCTGCCGAGACCTGCTACATCTGGACTGCCCACAGAACGGCAAGCGGCCCTGCTCCAGCAAAAGGGACAGTCAGGTGAGCAGAGACGTCAGTGGCGCGGGCCGCATTCTGAGTTTCAGGCCACCTGTCACTCCTATGCTGGAGAAATGGCCTGCGGCTTACCAAGGTGTCCCGGAGGAACAGGTCTGTGTTCTCTCCTTATCGTTATGTCTTTCCTATTGAGCCAGAAGCTCAACTCCGGGCTATGATTTTAGAACGAACGTGAGGCTTGTGCCTCGTATTAGCCAACAGATTTGTCACAGAGCACAAGGCTTTAATCTGCTTGATCACTTGTATACCCAGGGTCTGTCATATTTCTGTGCTGCCAGAACATGGAATTTGAATTTGGGATGCTTGCTTTTTCTTATGTATTCATTACCTTTCTGTTGCTATAAATATGTTACGAGGGCAAGTTAAAGAAGAAAGGGTTTTGGCTTCCGGTTCTGGAGGGTTAGGGTCTATCATAGTGGGGAAGTAAGCAGCAGAAATGACAGCAAGTAGCGGAAATGGTGGTGGCGGGAACTGGATGCTGAGGCCTCCCATCCTGAACTGTAAGTAAGAAAACAGAACAAACTTGAAGAGATTTTAGGGTCTTTAAGCTGCCAAAACCCACCTTCAGTGACACTCCTTCCAACAAGTCTCTCTCTCTCTCTCTCTCTCTCTCTCTCTCCCCTTCTCTCTCTCTCTCTCTCTCTCTCTCTTTCTTTTTCTCTTTCTGAGACAGGGTTTCTCTGTGTATTAGTCCTAGCTGTCCTGAAACTCACTTTGTAGACCAGGTTGGCCTCAAACTCACAGAGATCTGCCTGCCTCTGCCTCCCAAGTGCTGGGATTAAGGCTGTGCGCCACCAACGCCCAGGTTCCATCTCTTAAACATGCCAAATTGCAACCACCAATTGGGAACCAAGTATTCTAACGCCTGAATTATGGAGGACAGTTCTCTTTTTAACCACCATATCATCTAACGATGAACCTAAGCACTGAGACCGTGCTGGAGTCTGACTCCTTGTGTGCCTTTCCAATTAGGACAGTAGATGCACCTTGTCTGTGACAGACATGTTCCAAGTCCCCTCCCCCAGCTGAAGCCTTGGACTGCAAAGTGTACCAAACCATATATATATGTATATATATATATATGTGTGTGTGTGTGTGTATATATGTATATATATATTTACTTACTTACCAAAAACAGGTTAGCAATGACTAGTAAGGATATACAATGACAAATTCTTTAAGCCAGGCATGGTGGGTATCTCAGGATTTCTTTCGCTGTGACACATGGCAAGACTAACTTGGGCAGGAAAGGGTTTATCTGGTTTACACTCTTCATCATCAAAGGAAGCCAGGGCAGGACCCTGGAGATGGGAGCTGATGCAGAGGCCATGGAGGAGCGCTGCTTACTGGCTTGCTTTTATGGCTTACTCAGCGCCTTCTCTTCTCTTTTTTTTACTTGATTTTTATTGAGCTCTACATTTTTCTCTGCTCCCCTCCCCTTCAACCCTCTCCCAAAGTCCCCATGCTCCCAATTTACTCAGATCTTGTCCTTTCCTACTTCCCATGTAGACTAGATCTATATATACCTCTCTTAGGGTCTTCATTGTTGTCTAACCTCTCTGGGATTGTGATTTGTAGGCTGGTTTTCTTTGCTTTATGTTTAAAAATCACTTATGAGTGAGTACATGTGATAATTGTCTTTCTGTGTCTGGGTTACCTCACTCAAAATAATGTTTTCTAGCTCCATCATTTTCCTGCAAAATTCAAGCTGTCGTTATTTTTTTCTGCTGTGTAGTACTCCATTGTGTAAATGTACCACATTTCCCTAGGGGTCTAGGGGTGTTTATGTTGT